AGTGTTCTACATATTTTGTCTAAATGAGTGGTCGTATACATTTTTACTAAAATAGAGGGTCAAAGTTCAACATTTTGACACAAATCTTTCGGTCAACCGTTTTTTTTTTCTTTTTCTGTTAATTTTGCCAATTTTACATGTTAATCGCTTATATGGTTGAAGATAATTATTTATTCATTACTTTTAATTATTCTTTTATTTACTATTATCTTTATTTAATTATTGCTTTCTTGGTCTCTACCATTCTTATATCAGTTCTGCTTTTTCTGTATTTTATCCCTTGTTTCGACGATGTAAGATGGTCAACTAAATATATAAATACACACTCCTATTAGGACGCGTAGTTTTCGTCTGATGTATATGTGTGTTGTTCTGCCATCACCGCCACCAGTCGGTTATTTGGTTTATTATTTGTTTTTATAACTAACCAGGCAACGAGCGATACGCATGCTCTGATCACAGGGAACCCAGGAACTATAATCAACTGTAAATTCGAAGGAGCAACTAATATTCTTTAACCTGGTATTTTTTTAGATTTTATTTTTTTCGTCTGTTTTTTCGAGTTTAAAAAATGTTAGCTGGCTGGAGCCTTCATCCCTTGTCTATTTCTTACACTAGATACCCCCCCCCCCCCGCGCTCATAGGGAGTGCGTACAGTTGATCATAGTTCCTGAGCTCCCTGTGCTCTGATACGAATATATTTTTTCAAGAAAACATTATTTTAATAACTTTTTCATCGAATTCATGAACATGAATTATAATAGTATGACGCTACACGTGGTATAAATGTGAAGTTGGCTACGAAGGTTGGCATTTAGTAATGCTAACAGCGCCACCAAACAAATACATGGTTTATATTTGTCTGTCTGATCAGTTTTCGTTATGCTATGAAAGTTATGAATCAAAAGGAAGAATACTGACATTCGTCGTTCTGCACAGCAAGCGTTTTGAACAACTTAAAGCGGGAGGATCGTCACCTGCGCAGGCGCGGGAATTGAGTCCCAAGCGACGACAATAAAACTTGTTAAAAACGCTGTCGGAGTAATTTTTGAATCATTTATCTGTGAAACATTATAATTGAAACAAGCAATATTTGTTAATCGCCTTATTCATTTCGTTTTATACAAGTTCAATAATACTGTACTCTGACTCATACATTGTTGCAAAATACGGACTCTGAAGTGAGACGACGACATGAATGCGAACGTGATAGAAACCACCGCAGTGTGTTCTTTTGTTTCAATTTTTATATTCATCCGATTAGAAGCTTTTCCACTAATTTTCTTACACGGCCAAGAACTTATCGATGTATATCAAGGGCATACTGGCCAGTTCTGTACTATTCTTACAATTTCTGTTATATCGTTGATATCGTCACGGTGTTGTAAGTCTCCGGATTGCCAGTGGGGTTTCCGTTAGTAAATATATTCTGAGTTTATATTAAGTCGTTCTACTGTGGTGATTAGTGCTGGTTGTGTAACAGATAATGTTGCATACTAATTGTCGTTATATTTCCATATTCGCAACGTATCGTCCCCCTCAAACAAGCAAAGGCTCATGGGTAGACGCTTGTTTGTAAACAATGATACGCTATGGCCATTTGACGCATGAGCAGGTGACGACTACAACGCTTTAAACTGATTGTATTGAGAACAGTATTTGTATTTTTTTTTCTCTAACCGTGACTAATAAACTGAATATTTCAACTATATTACGCAACAGCATATTGTATCAACATTAAAGTTATATTATATTATATTTTTTCGAAGTAGTAATTGTGAGGTCTTTAATTTCAATAAATACATACTGTGAAGGAAATCACCTAATGTTGCTCTGCAAAGGACCAAACTTTATAGTAATCTGTGTAAATTGGTGATCTGTGTGCGTTTCGGACGAATGTACGTAGCAAGTAACTTTGATAATTTCTGTGCCTTTGCGACGGGTTACGACAGTTACGTAAAACGTTTAGTTTTTCATCAAACGAACACTATTGTGTTGATTTTATTGACAGAAGCAATACCCTTCCTTAGGGATAAACGTAGACTGTCGACAGTTCTCAGGCCGAAGGCGTTTGCAAGAAATGTCGCAACATTAACGCTTGCAACATTACGTGGTTTTTCATCAGTACTGAACAGAATTTATAGCTGATGCCCCGGCCTTCGCTGAAATGTCTGTGGCCGAAGACGTTTGCTATTAGTATCCTAACAAATTAGGCACGAGGACTGTCGACAGTCTAGAAACAATGTCACTCTTCCCAGGAAGTAATGTATGGGCACTCGTGTTAGGCACCAGTGCAGTTACAGTCTTGAAGCAATATACTAGTATATTGCTTTGCTTGTTGATTGGTAACATGTGGGTGCTAGGTAGCTGTCAACACGACTCCCATAAGTGGCGCCCTCTCGTGTGGGACGCTTCTGTGACGTCACAATAGTCGGTATATGGGTGAAGGCAATGTGCAATAGTTCAAATCGACCACTGCGTTTGGTCGCCACCCAGAATATAACAAAACTTCTTAAAAACATAATTTTTATTAATGGACGGCTACAGATCAAAACGATATCGACGTTTGGACACCTTCGTGTGGTCCATTACGTCAAGTAGCGCTTGTTGCTAGGTCAACGCGTGTAAAAAGCATTACAGGCCATTACATAGACCACTTTCCCGGAAGTCACAGATACGGCGTTTCGCATGCGCGCGCATTCCGTTTTGGGGTGTAACGTAAACTTGCACGTGACAAAGCAGGAGTATTTTTGCACCCCAGTTTTGCTCCTTCCGGGAAAATGGTATAATAATAATATATAATAATAATACTTTATTGCCTCCGTGTAAAAAGATTTACATAGGATAAGTACATCAAAAAATGAGTTTTAAAATAATAACAAGATATATGTAAGAATTGTACAAAAAACAATACAAAAGGACTTAACTAGTATTTAAATGTTAAATAAATCTTTGTGTTGTGTAAATATAATTGGCCAGTTCTATAATTATGCCAGGATCTTTGCTTGAGAGTATATATGTGAACTGTATATTTTTATTGTTGGATGAAAGTAGTGTCATCATTTTTTGGATGAAGTTTTCCCTGTGTGTGTTATATTTTGGGCAATTCAATAGAAAATGTTCTTCATCTTCAATTGAATTTCTGTCACAGTTATTGCATATTCTTTTGTTTATAGGTTTCTTAGGCAATGAATATCTGCCTTCCTCTATTGCCAAGTTATGGTTACTAATTATCAATTTTGCCAACATTTTCCTCTTATGAGTGTCAAATTCATTCAAATATGGCTCAAAGATATATTCTGTTTTAAATTTAGCATATGTTCTCAGTTTGCTATTTTCTTTGGAAATCATTTCTTTCCAGAAACTGGTATATTTATTTTCAAGGGAAGTTTTTAAAATTCGATTAATTTGATTTTTTGTTTGATAGTAAGTGTTTTTTTCTTTTATGAAGTTTAGTGAATTGTCTTCAGGCTTTCAATATTGTGTGTATTGCATTCAGCCATTTGTATTGTATAGTATTGTGTTTTGTTTGTTCTAGATAGCCTGTTTTGTAAGATTATCATCTGGGAGTTCCTTTATATGCAACCAGTAATTAATAGCTTGAACTTTTGCTCTGAGCAGTAGTGGATAATGACCCACCTCTGCTCTTGATGCTAAGTTACAGGGTTTTTATTCACTTGTAAGATTTGTTTGCAGAATTTAATATTGACCGGACTCCATACAAAGAAGTTCGCTGATTCTGTTCTAAACTTTTTAGATTCCGGCATTCCCACGATGTATCCTTGGTAGGAAAAGATGTATATCTGTTTAATTCGTTTAAAAGATTCCTCTCATTAGTAAATAGCGCCCTCACTCAACAATATTTAGAATGAGTGGTTTTTCAAAAGTTTGATGAGTCAGGTGCATCTATTGGCTAAGCTTGTTGTACATAGATGCAAGTATATGAGTATAGGAACCATTAATGCTGTAGGGTGTACTGGGAGGGGTGGAGGACTTCATGTTTGTAATGACTGGTTGTAATGCGGTATCTCGTTGTTTTCAAGATGCAGCCTGATATTTGTTGCTTTCCTGGTTGTTAAATTGTGGCTAAAATTTGTGTGGTGGGTGGAAGATGTGTTTATTGTTTGTTGCGTCATTGTTTAGACACCCTACAGCTTGAAATGGTATGGTCCAAATCCAAATTCGATATGACGGTGTTGAATATCTGTGGCAGTGTCGTCTGAGAACATGGCATCAAAATGATTTCTGTTTATTTATTTACTGTTGTAGATCCTGAGAACTAGCCATTGAATATGATGTCGGGAATAAATGGTTTTCTGAACAAGCTTTATTAATTATTGCTGGCAATATTCCAGTATGAATTGGGAGCAAACACTGACACCAAATCTAGTCGTTGTATTGTTATGCTTCTAAAATATATTTTTTTTTTAATAAAATAAATTAAATAGAAATATTATGTGTATTTTTGTATGTGGAAACATGGCTGGCCCACTCAAAAATATAAAGAAGTGAGGTCTGCAGTTCTTTTTTTTTAAATTTTTTTATTTGTGAAAAAAATGGTATTTTACAGAGTGTAAACAATAAAACACTCACAGTGCAAGGCTAGTTCACCAACATGTCTATTCTCTTGCTTGAGTGTGAAAGTACATGGTTTAGTGACTACCTCCTATGTTTTTAAATTTTAGAATTTCTTTTATTTGGGAAGGTTCTTCTATAAAAATAGAACAGATATGTATATGTATGTATTCTAAACTGATTGGCGACTGTAACGCAATCTGTAATTTTTCGTTCGCTGCGAGATATTGTGTAAGGCGTGAACGGTACGGATTGAACGCCAGAATGTCAGATTAACAAGACACTGAGATAATAACAGCATTATTTTGTAAGAATAATTATTTTTATTAACCGGTTTATCAAAAGACTATGATAGATTCGAAAGATGAAGGACCACCCATAAGAAATAAAGTAATAAAACAGGTTACTACTATGCAGCATATTACAACAATAGTCAAAGTACGTCGCCTGGATCTGTTTCTAGATAAGTTTCCCAGCGTCGTTTTACCAGTCAACATTAAACACAATTTTTCCAACATTATCGGAAGATTGTTATCACTGCAGTAACCATAGATGAACCTACAACGATGGAAGAAAACAGAATTGTTTGCATTTATCATATTCATCACAATAGGTGATTTTCCGTACAATTGCGAGATCTCACGAGATGCATGAAAGACGCGCGTCGAACGTCTGCCGCAAAATTCGAACGATTTGATTTTGAACTCGAATTTCCTTATTTCGTAGCTCACACCGACCGGCCGATCTTCGACATAGGAATATTGCTTCCGAATACCCTTACTTAATCGAAATTGCCTATCATCAAATGTGGACAGCACATTATTAAGCATGGAAATGTCCCCAAAATACTTTTGCGTTTGTCGAATCCCACGCGATGTTTGACGCGACTACGACGCTATGACCGTTCGATTTCACGCATAACGCGTGATTCTCGCAGTGTACGGAAAATGGTCTATTTACGTGAGATTTCATAGCTTATTTTACTGATTCTGTCATCGTCAACCAGGATACACCCACCTGTCAGGTCTCAGGACAACGACGTCACATTTCTTGGATCTGAACCATTTATGTAACTCCTTATCCACATCGACCATTTTTATGATACGTGTACCAATACAATAAGAATCATCTAAAATAGTTAACCAGAAATACATGTATTTCGTATTACCAGTTGATGTTGTTAACAGGTGGGTGGTCGTCCAGTAGCGCGTGCTCGGATTTCATGTAAATAAACAATGTATTTTTACACGCGTTGTGTACGTCGTTGTGAGTCCCATATCGAACAGAACGCGACGCGACGACCACCCCCGACCACCACTCTTTTAATATTAATGTTTTGTAAATATTGTAAAAAAAATCCAACGACAAGTTGTGATTCGCTATTTGGATGCTTATTTGCATTACTATTTATGCGCGCAACCAGTTTCTTATTGGACGAAGCCGAAGTAGTTTTGAAATTATATTCTTCCGCACGAGTGAGTTGACCTACCATACTTACCAATGTTGTGTTGACTGAACATATTCTTTGGCGGTAGAACTTGAAAAACTGTTGCATTCAAAGGATTCAAAATTTTAGTCTGAATTCGATTGGAAAAATCTGGAAATTTGTTGTAATATATAAGAGAAAATCCAATACCAAGAACCTGCATTTTGCAAAATATAAATTAAGGATTAAAATGATGTGTACATTTCATGTAATTTGGCATTCATTATGATTGTACAGATGACAAACATATAACCAATGACAGGGAAGTGATTCTGTTGTCAGCATACCTGTTTCACAAAAAACACTGTCATTGGCTAGTATGCGGATAAATTCAGAATATTATACTTGCTTTAAAAGTAAGCATCGATTGTTATTGAATCATTTTTTCTGAAGCGATCGCGCAAACGAGATCTTCTACTGGAGTTGGTCGGATGTATGTTAATTGACTATTTCGGGAAATTGGATACACAAACAACAGAAACAGAATTTGTTCAGGCCCAACAACGTGAGATATGCTGAGAAACACGAGGTTTTCCTAGCAGCGCTTGAAACGCCCAGCAAAAACAACATTTACCGTTGGTAGTAAAGGGAAATGGGGAACAACATAACTCACTCACTTTGTCTAACAGCAGTGGTGTCTTGGACGAGGATGTGAGAACGTTTGGTTGGATGAATAATTCACCGGCACTGAGGGGAGAAAGATAAAGATATAACGAAATGCGTCATTGCCCATAGCAACCAGCTGAACACATTATATATCTACATAAGTTGTGTGGGTATGATGAATTTCAATGACAATGCTCCGACTGATAATCATAGTTGTGCTAATTAAGTACTTGTGAGAAGGAAAATCATAATCCGAAAAAAAAAAATTCCAGCTTTATTCACATCATTTTATTCTAATAGTGAATTTGTTATGTTTGTATAGCTTGGTGTGTTAACGACTACGAACATACCAAATGTGATATAAATGGTAACATACATGCCGGAAAGATATATGAGAGTGTGGTCACGTGATATGAGTAAACTTAAACTATGTAGCCATGTAATAACATACCCGTCACATGTGTCATCAAAAAGTCCACTTTTGAATTGTAATACTGGTTTTACAATAAGTTTAGAACTGAATCCCAGAAAATGAATTAACAGAAGAAGTAAGTTCCTGAGTGTTAAAATAATCGGGTTCCTGAGAGTCAAAAAACGACCAATATCTGAAATAAGACAAAATTACCATGTTGGGGTTAATGCCGATCATCACATTATTCATAATAAAGGGAGGTAGTCTTCGCGATCACGTGTGTTTGGTGTGGGTCCCATGCTACACGTAGCAACATATGCGAATGTGTATTTACACAAATACGAATACAGTCGAACCTCGTTCCCGACAACCACCACCTTTTGAATATGTATATTCGAATGCCGAAATTATTTGTCTTTTTTGAAATATATAATTTTCATACAAATATGGCGCAATTATTAGTACAATCATGCTGTCGGCATTCCATGCAATAGTGAACCAAAAACTACATTTTTTCATCAAGTGAGTAATGATATATACTAATGAAAGCAGCATGACAATATCTAGAAACGTTTTTTTTTTTTCTTTCAACACATCATTTTACCCACTGTGTTTTCAATTTATACCACAGATGTAATTTTGGAATAAAGTTTTTATCATGATCTTATCCCGAATCGTCTTTTTTTATTCGAATATAAAGAAAGAACACTTACTTATTGACCGTATTGTCATATTTTTCACATCATCGCATCTTTCTCTTTCGAATGATTGTAATAACTGTTTGTTGCTCACTTTTATTTGTTGCATTTTGTCTACCCCATTTGAAGTGTGGTTTCCTATTAATCGCATGTTTTCAAAGCAGAGTGTGCCTCTTATAGCAAAGGTCACTTTCCAGGCTAAATTACCGGCATCTCGGATACCATTACATAAACCTTAAAGCAAAATATTTGTTTAAAGACTATTATTTGAAAAAAATACATTAAAGTCTAAATGGTTTAAACAAGACCTGCCGACACAATCAGCAAAGGCGCCTTCCCATTGGCTAGGTCGAAGTATGGCCAATGAAAAGTGATTGCTAATTGTAAATGAAGACACTTTGACATAATTTGTCGAATTATATTTTCTTGAAGTGAACGCATATTCAATTAATTCATCGCCACTGGTCACACAACAGAGTCTAGACTTTGTGTCACCGTAATTTACTCGTACATCTTGTTAATCAAAAGTCTAGTCATGCAATATTGGTTCAATGGCATCACTGTCCATACAATACAATATCGTAACGATGCAATTAAATATGTAGCCTTGGGCGAGGCCACACAGATACCCGGAAATGTAGATCCATTCTTTTAGTAATAGTTTTACTATATGCTTGTATCTCGAGATATGAACTGACGGACTAACAAATGTATTGAACATGTTCAGAATTGAAGTGGTTGATTCAGTCTCAATTTGTTGTTATTTAAAAACTGAACTAAACCATCACGTGACTCGTTGTTTGATATTTGTCAGTTACAAAAACAATCTAGTTACGAAAAAGACTGAATAAAATGGCGGATTGTATGACGTACTCGAACAAAAATATCACGTGACACTGAAATTGAAATTTTGCTGGCGGTCGGAAACGATGGTAATACAAATTGAAATGCAAGTATCAAGCATGGAGCAATTATACAGATACCTTGGCCAGCGAATGGCGGCATACAGTGGGCTGCATCTCCAAGAAAAACAACTTTATCATCATACCAGTGCTGTATCTATCAAAGAGAGTGAAAAAAGGTAATGAAAATAAAATGTGGTCACAATTTCACTTCCGGTTTACGAATGTTATAATTCTGATGGTGTACGCGACGTGTATGTAGAATTAACTTTGCAGAATGTAAATAACTAACCTGTCGAGCATGGAAAGTATAAACAATTCTTCTTTTAAAATAAAGTTTATTTGAATCAATTCCAAGATTCTGTATGAGATTCGCAGTCTCGTTTACTTCAACGACATCGTTTTCCAGAGCGTCACTGTTAACAGAAAGTATCATTTAGTATAATAAAGATAAATATCTTTTAGTAAATTCAGTTTATTGGTTATTTAAGCTGCAGTTTAAATTTATTAATGTCACAAAATGTAACGATAAACATGCAAAATAAATATAGATTAATGGATAACTTACTCATTTAACAATATTTCGAATCGCAGGGTATCATCAGGCAATGAAACTATTGCAATATTGTTATTTCTATTGGTGACGAACCAGAGGTCTTTTAACGACGCTTTTAATTCCTTGTCGAACGTCACTGTGTCGAGCACCAACCATTGCTGCTCTGCAAACAAATCAAATTAATTTAAAATAACCAATATTCAATTGCGCGTACCTTCCACTGATTATTAGTCCCCGTTCGGACGAAGTCCGAAAACGGGGACTTATAATTCGGTCTCCGTCCGTCCGTGCGTTCGTCCGGAGTCATATCTCAGAATCCCTTGGACCGATTCCGTTCATTCTTTGCATGTGCCTAGTACTTTATGTGGGACATATGCAAATGCAGTGGTTTAGCGATTCGATTCAAAATGGCCGACTTGCAGCCATCTTGTTTTTTGAAAATGTTGTATTTTGGACATGCTTTGTCAGTTTTCATTCAAACTTGGTACATAGATTATACCTGTTAGGATACATGTCCATGATGATTTATTTCACAATTGGATCAAAGATGGCCGACTGGCAGCCATCTTGTTTTTTGAAAATGTCGTATTTTGGACATGCTTTGTCAGTTTTCATTCAAATTTAGTACATAGATCATACAAGTTAGGATATATGTCCCCGACCGTCCGTGAGACTGTCCGTCCGACCAACCGTGCGTCCGTCTGTCCGTGCGTCAGTCTATCCAACGTCATATTTCAGAATCCTGTGGACCGATTCCGTTCATTCTTTGCATGGGCCTAGTACCTTATGTGGGACATGTGCACATGCAGTGGTTTAGCGATTCGATTCAAAATGGCCGACTGGCAGCCATCTTGTTTTTTTGAAAATGTAGTAGTTTGGACATGCTTTGTCAGTTGTCATTCAAACTTGGTACATAGATTATACATGTTAGGATACATGTCCATGACGATTTATTTCGCAATTGGATCAAAGATGGTCGACTGGCAGGCATCTTGTTTTTGTTTTTTTGGCACATACATGTACTTTATACATGTTAGGATGCATGTTCATGACAATTTGTTTCAAAATCTTGTCAAGGATGGCCGATTGACAGCCATCTGACTTTTTGGCCTTACTACTATATTTCCACAAATTATGTACCATTTTCATTCGTATTTGGCACATACATCATACATATCAGTGTGTTTCATAATCAGATCAAAGATGGCTGAATAACGGCTGTTTTTATTTTGGCCATATTACTATGACACGAAACACGTGTTTTGATGTAAATAAACAATCTGTTGTATACGCCACTTGTTTCTTATGACGCCAATCCGAGAATCTACTCGCCGATGTAAAAACTGCAGTTGACTATACATATTCAGTTCTCATTACTTGTGTTACATGCCGCTTAAGTAATACGCGCTTCAATTGGTTGACAAATCCAATCAGGTGTGAGCTGGATGCAATTATCGTTGATTGTCTTGAAGTAATTACGCTACAACAATAGATTTTTTTCAGATAGTTTTAAAATCTATATTTTGCATCAATTCAGACAATTTTTCTCAAAAGAAATACCTTGCTCTGTGTAAAAACAAACGAACGTTGATGTTTGTATAATTCTGAAATACGTCTCCCCCTTTTAATAGATTGTATGCCTTTCGTTTCGTACGGTGACCTGTGTATACAGTAATAACAGAAATAACTCGGCTCAAGGAGTTCAATAAACCTACAAAAAGGGGTCATTTTACGATGTCATTATTTCTACCCCAAGGGCAAACCTGTCTGTTAGCTTGTGTAATGATATAAACCACGTGCATTGCATAACAAACATGCTCTTTAGCCACAGCTTTTAGTATGACATATACTGTTGATAGTTCTTAGTATTTGCTTTCATGCTACAAATTGTACCTTATTAACAGACGGCCACCGAGATAACATTGCTAGCAAGAGAGTTTGCAACAATATAGTTTTCCATTCTCTACCGGCTTCATGTTTACTTCTTTCCTGGGGCTAATCTGCACTGGCTCGGAAGGTTGTAAATGATTAGCTAGTTTGAATTTGCATAACAATACTGACAATGAACGTGCATTCAACGCCACAAGTTTTTTTGTTTTTTTTAGCCAATCAGAATTCATCTTCCGAGCCAGGGCAGATCAGCCGCTTTCCTGACTCAAGGTTGAACCCTACTCATAATTTGTTAAAAAGTTGGTCATAAATCGCATGGTAGTGTTCATTGGTTTATTATGTAATACCATTGAGCTATTGTCCCATGACACATTAAATAACATATTTTGAACAAAAAGCTATTTTAATATTGTCATTTTAGAACATTTGCATAGAGCACAATGTTAAATTGCATTTTCGAGACTTTTTAAAACACAGAATTTTGAAATAATTGAGGGCAAAAGGAGAATCTCATCACTCACAATGTGTTTTTTAGCCCGTGTAACCAGCCTACAATTTGAGATATGGTTCACTATCTCTGCCATGGGAATATATGGTAAAAGCGTTATACTACTACCAAAATGGCCACTATACACTGAAAATACAACCATCATTTTTCTCGGAAATTAGGCTGGTGACCTACTACTTTTTCAATAACCTTATATTGCCTGAAAGTACATTTTTTTGGAAAACAAATTCAGAGTGTTTGCATTCATGAGTAGGTTCCTACCTCAAAAACGGCGATGGCGGTAGAAAATAGAACATTATTGGGGGACGTCGCGTGGCTCTCTCGCGCTCAACGAGACATCAGCGGTCATTTGCGATTAATGTATTTTTAGGATGAATTTTATACTGCAATAGAAGAATACTTGGTGAATGTTACTTACTGAACGAGCTACCGACAAACTGAAGTCCGTGCCTTTTCCTAGTTGCGCTTCTCCCGCCTTCACAGACTAATAGATACTTGCATGTATAGTTGTGCGTTTTGTTATCAGACAGCCTGCGAACTGTTACAACCACGTGACTATCTTTGGAACTGTCGTCAATAACCTGCAATACAAATAAATAGATATATGTCCTTATATGGGTAAAGAGCAAGAAATGTACAATGTTCGGGAAACATCGCCACAACTTACTTCTACTATTTTCAATGTGATATATGGCGAACATTGGTTGTAAAAGCCATCCAGAAAATATCAGGAATCTGTCCACAAAATCGGTGTACTGTGAGATTATATAAAAATAAAACAAGTTGGGTCACCCAGGTAATATTCGAGAAAATACAGCCATATTTATATCGTGACTGTTGTTGGTACATATCTTTTTTATTTAACCATTGGTACACGTAAAATCAAATTGATAAAGTGAAATTATTTACATAGAAACAATTTTATATTATTGCGTCGCTATTTGTGTGTTCGTTCAAACTTTGTTCGGCAACGGTTTTCCACTAAAATTTTAATTGAATATTACATAAAAAAAACTTAGTGTTCAAAAAAAAAAAAACATTTTTAGATGCTAATTATTTCTTATGTCAAATATATATATAATGACTTTCAAAAGTTGATATACATGTCTTTTTATTTAACTTTATATATAATTGTTTTCATTTACTTGATTGATTTGTTTACAATGCCAAACGTCAAGCAATAAGTCAACTTTGGATTGTATATAATATGTGTGTGGTATTTCGATTTGTATGTATCATTGTTATGTACTATTATGTTAAGACATTTTCAGAACTGCAAACGGAAATTGGTCAAACGATATGATGTTAAAACTTGTCTACGAAATAGAAATGAAGGATACATTTTCAAAACTGTAAAATGCGAATCTTCGAATGGCACATGAAACTCTAATCCGTGCTAAGAAACGGGAAGCTAATGTTATTCGAAAAAAAATGTGATGGCAAAATTCGGGTTACTGTTTATTTTGTAGTAACCCGGGTTCAGCCATATATAAACTTCCATAATATTTTACTTTATTGAACAAAACACCAACAAATTAACATTGCATGCAAGGGTAATCAAAATGATTAAATGTCTTCAGAAATCAAAGACGAGGTGCACTTACTTTTCGAATACAGCAATTATACTGAAGGCGTAAATTATAATATTTGCGAGATTTCTCCGAAATTTGAGAATTCTAATAACATCAAATAATTGGAACTCCCAGTGAAAACATTCTGTATATCTGGCAAACTATCTGCATTGTACATTTGACAAAAGTGAGCAATCTATTTATAAGTAGGCACGCTTGCCATTCATTTGTATACAAGTCACAATATCAGATTTCTTAGTAAAATCCCAAAGGGCTGGATGTGTCTAACGTAATTCATTTTATATTTATCGACTCGTGTATTTTGACATATGACCTAATCTGGCGCAATAATCAAATAAACAAACAATAACAGTTTAATCAGTCGATAATCATGTTTTGATAGGTTGAGTACTAAAAAGTTGATTGCATAGTATCGAAAAACGTGATTACATTGCTATTTTTATACATGATTATTACGTTATAAATGCGTTATTTAATAACACATTACAATACAGTTGCACAGATTGCAATGCTATAACTATTTATATGATAGCTATCGCTGTGTTTCACTTGTTCTCAAACACGCGAGTAGCCCTACTCAAGTTAATTGGCATTATTATGTACACATATTGTCGCAAACATGTTACAAACATTATTTTAAAAATGTTACTTTTAATGTAAGAGTCTGAGGTTTTCTTGTTTGTTTTTTTAATTTTTCTCCTGTTTATTTACCCTACTAATAACGAGGTCACCATACCATAATATATTCTTATGGTCGCATCAGTGACACCATTGGTACATATTATTATATGTACATACTATTGCGTCGCAATTTGTGTGTTCGTTCAAACTTTGTTCGGCAACGGTTTTCCATTAAAATTTTAATTGAATATTACATTTAAAAGAAACTTAGTGTTCAAAAAAAAAAAAAAAACTTTTTTAGATGCTAATTATTTCTTATGTCAAATATATATAACGACTTTCAAAAGATGATATAGTGTCATAATCCCACGTGGACTAGAAATTAGTGGATATTCAATATTGATTATCAGTAATGGTCTTTTTTGCCATCAAATGCAAAGGCCTGTGGCCCAAAATACATAAACTATAAATAACATATAAAAAACAGTAATGTCACACACTGTGTTTATAAATTTCATAACGTAATTTGAGGGAATGAAAATGGAAGGCTGCAAGAGATTTCAATTCAAAGTGTAATTCATCTTCAATTTCTACGTTTTCAAAAACGTTTGGGATATCATTTCTCCTGTCGGTTTCTATCCTAAGACAATGAGAAGAACAACGAAAACGGGATAACATAAACGTATGATAGAAATGATAGGGAATAGAAATAGCAAACAAATAACACTCGGGCTCAAGCCGCGTTTTAAAATTACAATAATTATTAAGTTTGTCCAAGGTTGTGACATCTCCTTGCCAAGTATAAACGATATTTGAGTCTAGAAACAAAAATGTTGGTGCATTTTGGGAAACACCCAAGAACATTCTACATGCAAGGTGCTGGACGCGTTCAAGCGTTTCATAACCATAGTGACCCCAAATTTCAGACCCGTAAGTTAAAATAGGGGAAATCATAGTATCAACAATTTTAAAGAAATGTTCATAGGGCAAGGGGCCTAATTTACTGACGCGCTTGCGTAAACACATTAACGACTTTTTAGCCTGTTGGGCGAGTATTTTAGTAGCATTGGACCAATTTAACCGACAGGAAAACAACACTCCCAAATACCTATAATATGAAACAACATACAGTCTTTTGTTATTATAAAACCACTTTTTCAGTACTTGAAATTCTACCTCCCCTTTAAAAACAACAACTTTAGTCTTGGAAAAATTGACAGACATTTTCCAAAGATTACAGTATTCACTTAAGCTATTCAACAGCCTCTGTAGTTCAATAATCGAATCAGAAAATAAAACAACATCGTCTGCAAATAATAAACACAGAATTTCAATATTGATTATCAAAGTTTCTATCAAATCAAACAGTGATTGACTTCGCAGCGTGTCTTGTACTTTAAACGAATTTAAATCTACGACACCTCTACCGCAAATATAGGCAAAGGTAAACCACCTTAGTACTCATCGGATGTGTTGTGTATTGTGTGTCAATCCGTCACCCCCCCACAAAAAAAACGATTGCTGTGTAATCCTGGTTGTCTCTTTTCTGCCACGATTTATTGTGAAAACTCTACAGTGAATGGCAAACCAGTCAGCAGCTTAGCTAGCAATGTTGCTGTTCTAGTGTTCGGAACAATATGGCGGTGTCAGTAATGAGTAAGTCGTCCAATCAGCAAACGCGGGAATGACAAGTGGGCGATCGCAGTCATTACTATGAGTATTCAGATATAATTGAAGACATTCAGGTGCAGTATGGCTGTAGACAAATGTAAATCTTTGGTCAATCACAATTACATATTAGAATTGGATTGAAAGCTGAGGGTAGATATTTACATTTTTGGCAAATTTGTTTATGAAGTAAGTTACGGGTTTGTAACGCGAACTGTGGGTATAGCTATTTCTAAGTTCATATACAGTCATGAATGATAATGCGTTTGCGAGTGAAATTCGACAAGAGAACATGAACCCTTTTAGCAGTGTGCCTTTACACACTAGTCAGTAAAAGGTGATAAATTAAGTTACAATTTACAACAACATACGTACTGCGTAATCACCATTATTCGTATATTCGAATGCATGAATATTATCTTGGAATGTGATACGGTTTATATTGCTTCTTGTCAAAATAATTTAGTAGCGTCGACAACAGAGGACACAATATACGAGATATACTTTATTCCGAGACGATCTGGATATCAGTATAGCTAATATCCTTAAATATCACACAACGGATTTCAGTATTGCTAATATTCTTAAATATCACACAGTGGATCTCAGTATTGCTAATATCCTTAAGCTTAAATATCACACAATGGATCTCAGTATAGCTAATATCCTTAAATATCACACAATGGATCTCAGTATTGCTAACATCTTCAGATATTGCACAATGGATCTCAGAATTGCTAATATATTCAGATATCACACAATGGATCTCAGTATTGCTAACATCTTCAGATATCACACAATGGATCTTAGTATTGCTAACATCTTCAGATATCGCACAATGGATCTCAGAATTGCTAATATATTCAGATATCGCACAATGGATCTCAG